AATAGTTTCCAATTTATTCATTTTTTCTTTTAAGCAAAATACTGAATAAAATAAAATGTGACGATAAAAATATGAAATATTATATAAAATTAAAAAGAGAGATCGACACTATGTATAGATGAACTATCATAATAAAATTTTCAATTCGACATACTGAACATTCATATTAAAAGATAATTATTCCGCAAAGATTTATTTTGAATAAAACTTTATCCCTTTACGATCAATATCTTTTTATATTTTAAACATGTTTATACAAATTGATCGTAAAATGCTTTTGAAAGCTTGCTAGCACATCGAAAAGCATTACAAGCTTTGAGAGCCACTGCTCACTCTGATTGTTGGCTTTTCCCCTCCTTCCATTTCTTCCCCCCTTTTTCCTCTCTGACTCGCGATAGTATTGCAGCTCACCCCGCGCGCGCCGTTGTATTTCATTGTTGTGAACGCATGCAAATTGCGATCCCAGTGCCGGGTCCGAGTATCAATTCTAACAGAATTAATTCGAGTGCAGTCATTGTTTTTTGCACGTCACAAAAAACCCTCTATACGCGGGCGGCATCGTTTTGCCCCGCTACGAACAATATCCGGTTCATACGAATGGTTGCGCACGTCGCCGATCTCTCCTCGCTGATCATCCCGTGTCTTCCTATGGTGGTAAAATCCCGTTCGAAAATTGGACCGAACGGGCCGTGGATTGTCGAGATATAACATCGGCAATCGATCATTTTATTGGTAATTATCGTCAACGTTTTGCCAGTGATGTCAGCGCTCAGCGAACAGCGTCAAAAAAAGGATTGAGTAATATAGCGTCGCTAATTCGCAAAACTGAATGTCTATGTTTCATCACGCGATAGCTTCCAGTGAATAACCTCGCTTTCAGTGACAAATAGCCAAAATAGTACGACTATTGGCGATGAAAAATACAGGAAATACTAAAAGTTATAAAACTGCGCGCACCACCATTTACCGTCAGTTATATCAAATATGTGATATGTAAAGTTTTATAAATTAAAATGAAGTTGGAAAGAATATTCGATAATACTGAAAAAAATTAACTTATAAAAATCTTAATGTAATAAAAAATATTTCAAATATCAAAATGTTATTTAAAAGTATATTGTAGGCATTTTTTTGTTGGTACCGTTGGCGAGCTGCTCGATTCGTGAGCGGACAGATATGAATCTGAATATTCTTGTTCCGTTTGGAAAAACAAAGAGGTAGCGAACACTCTTTTTCTAAAAACCGATGATTGACAGCCCGGGCCTCATTGAATATCGTTTCGCGCCCGCCGACCCCCCCCCCCCCGAGAATAAGCGGGGCCCTGAATGCGGATCCGCGAATCCTTAGTCTTGCCCGAATTTCGTCCCGAAAAGCTTGAGGTCAAAAGTGATATCGATAGCTATCCGAAAATCATTTGAGTAATAAAAAGCCCACAATATATTAAAGTTGGTACATAATTATAATATGAATTGTTTGTTATTTGTGTTGCAGAAAGATGACTTTGCAGCCATCGGCTCAACATTGCGCCAATATCTTCCTGAGAAAGATACTCCATACATTTTAGACATCGATCTTGACTTCTTTAGTACTAAAAATCCGTTCAAAAATCTTCTTGAGCGCGTAAACCTCTATGAGAAGTTGACTCCTTTGTTTATATATAGGAGGCCGGAATCAAACGATCCAGAGGTGAGTTTCTCTTAAATTTACATAAAAAAGAAAATTAAATTTTTAAATTTAAAATTATTAAATTATTTAATTTTTAAGGTAATGTTATAGTTATAAGACTATAACATGTACTATAATATGTACATTTTCTTTTTAAGTTTTATTTTTAATAATAACAAATTTCAATTTGTTCACTAAACAATAATTCGAACTTTATTCTTACTGAATAAAAAAGTAACATCAACTAAATAAAAAATATTACTCTTGTATAAGGCTGTTATAATTTCTAAAAATTTAGAGATATAACAAACGTTAATATTAATATTGATTTAATATAGAAAATGTTCATCATGTTTCTTTTACAAATGGTATAATTAAATATCATATCTTAAACGACACGCCGCCTCGCTGCAAACTTACTATCCGAAAAAAGTTCTGTTTTATTTTTTGCTTATTTGAATTAATTAGAAATAATTTGATATTCTTAAACAAGATTAAGAGAGAAAAATATAAGGGGGTGGGGAAGAAGCAGAGTATGAAGGTATTATCGGTCATTAAATATCTGATTTCGCGGAAGTTTGATCGAACGAAAAAAGTTTGAAGGAAACGAGGGGGTGAGAGATCAGATAAACCGGGTAGCTTTTGAAGCGATGGAATTTCGCGAATCAGAGGATGAGAGCTACCGGCAACGAGCGGAAGATTTGCGAATAATTAGGTGGACCGACAATGGCCGGGGGTCCCGTGGCAGGCCGGATACACAATGTGGCCTGCCACCAGCGGGATAATAGACAGAGAAGAACGACTCTATGGGGTTTTAGGATTCGACGGACATAATGGCACTGGTCTATTGTCTACGTAGCTGCAGACTGCCAACATCCGCCTCCGGGGTCGGTCATGTCGGCTCATCTGCATACCAGCTTACAACCCTTCGGCCGTTTAGTACCGAGCATCGAAACGCTAATTCTGCTCCGGCCAGGCCATTCGTCAATGAATCCCGACCCCGCGTTATTAGTACTGTTATTTGAGAAAATAAACCGTCCTCGCTATTCTATTTCGTTTATTAATTAAAATCAATTTAACTCGCTTTTTCAATTAATATAATGCTCGATATATACGATTTCAAATGTGAATCGATACAATTCTCGATACAATTTTTGGATTTTTATTATTTGTAGTGAAAGATTTGTAGTGGATTAAAACTGTTTTAATAAATATAGCACCCGGCAAGCGCGCGATAAGATACCCCCGCCCGGCGATCATTGTTGTTAGGCGCGTGAGGAATTGTTTACTTCAGGCAGCTCGTGCGTAGCTATTGCCGTGCGTAGCTGTTTAAAGTAAACAATTCCTAGTAGAGTATCTTATCGCGCGCTTGCATTTGCCGGTGAGCCGGGCTAATACGGTGATTTTTAATAATTAATATCTCGATTATTATTGCGAATATCACAAAATGGTATGGGACTTTTATGTTCATCTCGGTCCCATCATTTTTTTTACGAGCGATGGCGGAAGTCTCGCGGAACACCCTGTATATTATCAGTTATTGGATATTTTTAGCATTACTGTTTATAAAAAGGCGATCATTGAAAATATATCCAATTGTTCTTATTTTGATATAATCAGAATATTTCAATGCATACGAATTAATAACAAATAATATGGATTTATACTTAATTAATAAGTAATTGTAGGTATGTGCAAATTCTTTCACTAAATGATGCATCAAACAGATTATTTTAAGTTATTTTATTTTACATTCCATACAAAAATCACATCGTGATATTATATAAACTTTCCGTTTACATTTTGGAAGTTATATTATCATGGCAAACAAGATATAATTTGTTAAATCAGCTAAATTTTGCTTGAATAACTATTCGCGGTTATAGTTGTGTATATTTAATTACCAGATTATGATAACTAACATCACGTGTTGAATGTATAACAAATTTTGTCAATGAAATAGGAATGTTAATTGCATTGTCATGCAACAGCATGTCATTTGAATTCATAAATTATGAATAAGTTTCACATGTTTAAATGAATATATATATATATATATGTATATATATATATATATATTAATAAAAAACTGAATATATAACTATTATATATTTACTATTTTTATTTTAGATTTTAAATAATAAAAATATATATATATTTTTATTTATTTATTCATAAATTGCATTATAACAGCATTTGATTGAAATTTGACAACAAATTTTAAAAAATTTATAACAAATGTTTTAATGATATAATAACATTATTTTTTTATTATTTTTATATATTTATATATTTCAAATTGATTACATAAATTGTATCTTTATGTTAGTTTTTATATTATATTATTTGTATAAGGGTTTGCACATCTTGCACCTATAACCAATCTGGTAAACGGCTGTTGCATATCTTGTGAATCCTACTTTGCATACCTCCATTTGTCGAAAAGGTTTTGATCCAACGAACAGATCATCTGTAATTTCTCACGGAGTTCCATGCCGTATGCATCCTGCATGTCATTTAGAAAACATCAGCTATTCTCCTATATTCGAAATTGCTGATTTCAAGGCTGAACAATTTAACTTCTCACCGTGGGATCTCGGTAAGACGCATACCCTTGAACGCAGAACGCAGTCAAGCTTTGACATCCGGAATCGCTTACCGTTATGTTAATGTTGCGAATCGGACCATTTAAATGCATGCTGGTTAAATATTCGGGTCTTCTTGGCCTACATGTACCATGGCGGATAAGTCCAGTTTCTGCTTTCAGCACGATGATAATGCAATGCAAAAGAATGATGCAACCGTTGCCACTTCGAACACGTTCTTTAAAAATTCAAATCAACACTTGACTTTTTCTTTTTATTGTTTTTTTATTTCTTTATTTTATACTCTATCTTTTTTTTTTATTCTTTTCTCTCTCAGGAATAAATGAAGTTGAAAAATATACTTGTCCTGACTAATAATAATGTTTTTAAATCATCGAGCGATGATTAATTAATAAGTGTGTCGTAATTCGTTTTGAAAATTTTTTATTCTTTCGTATACGTGTGTATGTGTTTATATATATAT